CAACTAACAACAACAACTGTCCTTAAGTGAATCAGTTGGTTTGTTATGGGCACATTTTTGCAGCAAACTGGAAGTAAATGTCGGGTTTGGGGAAAATGTGGCAAAACTCAGACACGTGACCACAAGCGAGGGTGTTTGCCCTTATTTGTGTTTGACCTATGCTGTGTCAGAGTGCTTCTACTCAGTGAATAGATACCTCAGAGTCTATAGTTTGGTTTGTTTGTTTTTTCTGCTGGTTGTTATTTGTGGCTTCTAATTGTGTAGACCTCTCTGAATCCATGTTGAGTGGTGGCCGTATTGGCTGGCTGGCTGGCTGTATAGATGGATGGAGGATGGGAGATGAATGGAGGGTGATGGATGGTTGGGTGGATGGATGGATGGAAGAGGGGTGGATTAACGGATGGGTGGACGGATGCACGGATGGATAGATGGATGGATGGGGGATGGATGAAGGATGGGGGATGGGAAGATGATGGATGGATGATTGGAGGGAAGGGGGATGGATTAATGGAGGGATGAACACTTGGATGGATGGATGGATGGATGGATGGACGGATGGACAGACGCATGGATGGATAGATGGATAAAGGATGAATGGATGGATGGATAGATGGATAGATGGGGATTGATGAAGGATGAATAGATGGATGGATGGATGGATAGATGGATGGATAGATGGATGGATAGATGGATGGATAGATGGATGGATAGATGGATGGATGGATGGGGATGGATGAAGGATGGGAGACGGATGGGAGGATGAATGGATGGATAGATGGATGGTTGGGAGATGGATGCATGGATGGATGGATGGGGATGGATGAAGGATGGGAAATGGATGGGAGGATGGTGGATGGATGGATGGTTGGATGGAAGGGGGATGGATTAATGGAGGGATGAACAGATGGATGGATGGACAGATGGACAGACGGATGGTTGAATTGATCCAACCATTGGAATCACTGGAGGTTTTTAAGAAGAAACTGGACAACCATTTGTCTGGAACGGTACAGGGAAGTGGACTACTAGAAGATCGCCAAGGTCCCTTGCAACTCTGTTACGCTGTACTCTGATGGATATATGGCTGGATGTGTGTTATGTGTGTGTGTGTGTGTGTGTGTGTGTGAATGGATGGACAGATGAATGGATGGATGTTGGATGGATGGGTGGATGGATGGTTCAACTGATGGATGGATGGATGGTTGAATGGGATGAATTAATCTATGTATGCTTGGATGGATGGATGGATGGATGGATGACTCCTATTTATTCTATGGCTTCATCATTGCCAATGCCTTCTTCTGGTGTGTGTTTTGGGGGACTTTCCAGACCTTCCCCCACTTCTGGAATTTCCCAGAGAGCTTCCCGGGAGAGTGCTAATTGTTGGCTATGTTTTGGGGAAGTTGGGAAATGCAGCTAATTCTGTTCTCCTCTTTCTCCAGGTCAGGAGAGTGGTGGCGAGCCAAGGCTCTTTCAACGGGCAAAGTGGGCTTCATTCCCAGCAATTATGTGGCCAAGGCCAACTCACTGGAGACGGAAGAGTAAGTCCTCTCAGCCTATCAAAGGGAGGGACCTTCTTGGTAGAACACTTGGTTTTAGATCTCCCCCTGATTTCAGCTCTGGACTATAGAGGTACATGGGCTTAAACGTTCGTCTGCTTTGGTCCTGTCAACATCCAGCTAGAGCCGTGGCGGCGAACCTATGGCACGGGTGCCAGAGGCGGCACTCAGAGCCCTCTCTGTGGGCACACGCGCCGTCGCCCCAGTCCTAGGCCTTCAGCTGGGTTTTATACAACCTTTTCGCTTTAGGCCTCCGCTGCCATGTGCAAAAAAAAAAAGAAGGTTCAATCAATCAGTCAATTTCAACTTCTCACGGGGAAAAAAAAGATCTCGCAAAGTTGGAATTGATTGATTGAACTTTTTAGTCCCACCCAGTCTGCTGTTACCACCACAGCCACGCCCACCCAATGGGCCACGCCCACCCAATGGGCCACACCCACCCGGCACCCAACGATACATAAGTGGGTTTTGGGTTGCAGTTTGGCCACTTGGTCTCTAAAAGGTTCACCATCACTGAGCTAGAGAATCACAAATAAAACTCCAGGTTCATATAATAATAATAATAATAATAATAATAATAATAATAATAATAATAATAATAATAATAATAATAATAATAACAACAACAACAACAACAACAACAATAATAATAATAAAGTTGGAAGGGACCTTGGAGGTAATCCAGTACAACCCCCTGCTCAGGCAGGAAACCCTATACCATTTCGGACAAATGGCTGTCCAGTCTCTTCTTAAAAACTTCCAGGGTTGGAGCATTCACTGCTTCTGGAGGCAGGTAGTTCCACTGGTTAATTGTTCTCACTGTCAGGAAGTTTCTCCTTAGTTCTAGGTTGCTTCTCTCCTCGATTTGTTTCCATCCATTGCTTCTTCTCCTGCCTTCAGGACAAGAACAGCTTGACTCCCTCTTCTTTGGGGCAGCCCCTGGTATAAGGTTTACTGCCTGAGCAAGGGGTTGGACTAGAAGACCTCCAAGGTCCCTTCCAACTCGGTTATTCTGATAAGAAATGGCAGAGCTGCAAAACTGTGTGTGTTTTTTTCTTCGTACTGGAAGACGGCTATCCTGTCCCCCCTCGTCCTTCTCTTCGTTAAACTAGACATCCCCAATTCCAGCAGCCGTTCCTTATATGTTTCAGCCTCCAGTCCCCTGATCATCTTTGCTGCTCTTCTCTGCACCCTTTCTAGAGTCTCCACATCTTTTTCATTCCATTTAGAAAATCTTAGTATTTATTGAATATGCTGTGTGGTGATTGTTGAAGCAAAACTAACTCTGAGGTTCCCACGCCAATTCATAGACTTAAACGTTTGATAGTATTCCCAGGCAAAACCCCCAACATCTTTCATAATCCATATCAACAAGTTATGGCAACCAAATCGACACCTGTTCTGGTGTCCTTCAAGCTCTCACGGTCTGCAGCTGAACCGAAGGAGTTTCATTTCTCTATCTATCCACTTGAAAGTAACACCTTCACCACCACCACCCTTAATGTAAAGGCAAGTTGCAACGCAGAGGCACGTAGCTGCCAAAGTTTCATCCCTGACAAGTCCTTTTATAATAATAATAATAATAATAATAATAATAATAATAATAATAATAATAATAA